TAGGGTTATGCTGCCGGGCGGGGTTTAGGGTTAAGGCATCGGGGTCTAAGGTAGGGTTTTCTGTTGGGGTTTGGGGGTTTCAGGGTTTAGGGTGCTGTTAAGGAACTCAGCTTCAAGTCTGGCTAAACTGGGCTTCATGGTGTTGAGAAGAGATTGTGGTATTTTGAACTGAGGTTGTCGCCCGCGTCACGATTTTCGCCGTCTTTGCGGACATCCTTGGCATCTTGGAATTTATAGGCGGTTGCTTGCTTGGGCGTGAAGATGCAAGGGTTTCAGCAATGAGTACCGATACCAGGACCTGTCCATCTTGCCAGGTGGCCCAAGCCCTGAACCCTGAACCCCTTACACCTTAAGCCCCTGAGCTCCGAAACTCCTTGCCTCCTAAGCCCCTAAACTTCCCCTAAACCCCTTGCTGCCGAAGCCCCCCAAGCCCCTTACCCCCTAAACACTTGAACCCTGAAATTTAAACAAACCCTGAAACCCCACAACCCGAGGTCCTAAACCCTAAACCCCCTGAGCCCCTAAACTCCCTGCACTCACTAAAGCCCAAGAGCTTGCTACATGCACAGCCATCATCACCCTAGACCCGAAAACCTATAACCCTATAGCCCTATACACCTAAACCCTATAACATCCGATAACCCTAAAGCCCACTAAAGGTACCGCCATCATCATGCCCGGCCTGGCCTCCGTGTGCACTTTCGCCGAGGGCGGTCCTGGGGATTTCTTGGAGCCCCCCGGCGGGCGGGGGCGTTAGGGTTTTAGGGGTTTAGGGGTTTGGGGTTTTAGGGTTTGGGGTTTTAGGGTTTGGGGTTTAGGGGTTTGGGGTTTTAGAGTTTGGGGTTTTAGGGCTTGGGGTTTAGGGGTTTGAGGTTTTAGGGTTTGGGGTTTTAGGGTTTGGGGTTTAGGGGTTTGGGGTTTTAGGGTTTGGGGTTTTAGGGTTTGGGGTTTAGGGGTTTGGGGTTTTGGGGTTTGGGGTTTTAGGGTTTGGGGTTTAGGGGTTTGGGGTTTAGGGGTTTGGGGCTTTGGGGTTTAGTGGTTTGGGGGTTTAGGGGTTTAGGGGTTCCGTTGCAGGGTTCCTTCAGAGGGGTACGAAAATCGGATCCCTAGGGTCCCTTTTAGGGTTTACATTAAGAAGTGGGAGTTTCCGAAAATTGGGGTACCTTATTTTGGGGTCCTTATAATAAGGATCCTACTATTTAGGATACTATATTAGGGTCCCCTATTTTGGGGAACTCCCACATCTAACATTGTTATATCCCCTGATGAAAGAGAATATTAAAGATTTTGGGTTTGGGGCTGTGTGCCTCGCCACACAAACGCTAGAACTCCCGCCTTCTTACCCCTATAACTTACAACCCTGGCCTGCAGCCCTAAGACCCTAGGTGGCATGGACTTTTAGGGTACCTGTAACTGCTTGTTTATGCCTTGTAGCCCGAGAGCTCGCAGGTGCAGCCCTATAATTGTTTTGCCCTGAGCCCTAGACCCAGTAAAAGGAAGAGCAACCCCCATAACCCTATAAAAACCAGAGAGCCCAATACCCCATAGTTACGGAATATACCTTAAACTATAAGGGGGTTTATGATTCAAGCTGTATTCCTTAACTAAGGGTTATGCGGGCTCTCTGGAACTCCTGATAACCCCCAATCCTATAACCCTATACCCTAAACCTCAAACCCTAACCCTAGACCCTACAACCCTGAACTCTAGGCCTCCCTTCACTCTAAAGCTTTTTCGGGGTCACAAGGGAGGAGCGTAGAACTTTTGACCCTATGCCCCGTAAACCCTAACCCCTAAGATCTAACCCAAAACCCTAAGCCCTAAACCCTAAAGCCTACACCCTAAACCCTGAAACCCTAAACCTTAAACCCAAACCCTAAACCTTAAACTCTAAACCCAACCCCTAAACCCTAAACCCTAAACCCTGCAAAAGGGAGGGGCAGGGCCTGGCCGAGCCTAGGCAACAGCGAGCTGCGGGGCTTCTGACGGAAGAGGCCTTCCAGGCGCGGGTCGCCTTCCCCAAGCCTTTCTTTGGAGGTGTGTTGAAGGAAGTTTCGTAATGTAGGGGCCTTAATGATTAGAATAGGGTTTATGCTATAGCTATATTTGCGGGTAATTGATTGGACCACTATAATATTAGGATTTTTGCAGGAGGGTCTGGATCAGGTTTTTTATTGGAAGTCAACGGGGATTCTTGGAGGAGGACAGAGTTTCCATTTCCATTCTAAAATGAGCTCGAATCCCCAAAGAGGGTTCGTGGTTTTCAAGTTGGGTGGGAGGATGTTGGGGCCAGGGTTCGGGTGAAGCGCTTTGAGGGTTCAGGGGCTTTTGCCATTTGGGGTTGAGGATTATCATTCCTTGTTGAACTAAGCGATGGTACCCTTTTTTCCACATTCTTTAGGGCCTTATACAAAGATGCCAGACTCAGCTGAAGACGGAATCCTGCATGGCCTGCCTGGTTCAGGGTTTTGCACCCAACCCCCAAAGCCCCAAGCCGTGACCAGCCCGAGCCGCAAGGTCCTGGAGCCCTAAACCCAGAGACTCCGATATCCCTTAATTAAGGAATATATTCCTTGAATCATATTAGGGATCCTATTATAATTTAAGGAATATTCCTTAATTAAGGAATATTGGAGTCTCTGGGAACCCCGAAACCGCAGGAGCAGACCCAGCTGTACATCTCACCGCACGCTTTCAAGGGCGAAAGAGGAGCCGCGAGTACGATCCCCGCAACTTTCAGCTTACAGCCTGACGTCAAGCCGAAACACCTTAGTGCTTAGCTGTCTTTGGATCGTCCCCAAGCCCCAGCCCTCAAAGTTTTCGTTTTCATACTGGTGTCAGTGGGCTTTCTCTGTATAATTGGTGATTCATGCTCCTGTGCCAAGCCAGAAAGAATCCCGACCCGAAAAGGAGTTCATGCAAAGCCTCGTAAGGAGCTGTGGAGCCTGAAGCTCAAGAAAACCCCTAAACCCCAATCAAAAACCCACAAAAGCCCTAGCTAGCCTTTTCCTCCAGATGACCCTATGACCAGGGATCTTTGGCCCTTACGCCCCATACACAAAGCATTTAGGGTTTAGGACACCACATGCGGTCTTTTCCCATCAGCAGTAGTCTTTCAAACTGCCAAACCTGGGACGAAGGTAGATGGTATAAAGGACGCCTTGTGCCGCGAGTCTTACGACTTTACGCTTCAGCGTTTCAAGTTTAGGGGTCTGAATAGTTTGCAATGATATCACCCTATTGTCCTTTGGACCTTTTACCCTTCAACCCCAAACCCTAAACCCTTGTATTGAGGGTTCCCACCTTCCATCCTTCTGAGCGAAGATCATAGGAGGCCAAAAGGGGCTTTAGCCCATGGGGGTAAAATTATCATATTTAGAGTACCCAAAAGGGACCCTAATTTTGATAACCACCCATATTAAGGAATCCCTACCCCAAGAATCTTAAACCCCTCTTCTTTTGGCCTCCCATCAGAAGAGGAGCTTGGTCGGGAGCGCCACCGGTCCCTTACTCGCTGTCCATGAGCCGGGCCTGTTATTGGTGGACGTCTTCAGGTTTGTTTTGGTGTGGGGCTGCAAGTATTTGTATGAATGTAAATATATGTGTGTATACATATATATATATATGTATATGTATATATATATATATAATATATACACACACACAGGTATCGGCATACGTGCGTATGCATGCATGGAATCATGGATGGATGTATGTATGTATGTATGTGTGTATATGTATGTAGGTATGTAGGTAGGCAAGTATGTATGCATACATACCGTCTTAACATACACATATCTCTTTGTGTGTTTATACAGAAAGGCCCCCCCCCCAATCCCAGGAATCTGGTCATGTCCCTTGGATTTCTGGGCTCTGCGGCCGGCTCCATGTTCTTCGGATGGCTGTGCGACAGGATCGGCTGCGCCTTGACTAGGGTTCCTTTAAAGGGCTACTGTAAGGAATCTATAAGGGTACTATAGCATAGGGCCCTTAATAATTGCCTACACTATTTGGGGAGTTCCGTATTGTGGGCCCTGTGCGGGTATTTAGGGCCCCTATATTACACGAATATCTGGGGCTTCAGCCGGAGTTCTACTATAGGGCCCTTAGTACATTATGGGGGTACGTGGCCTTCATGGGTTTTTCTAGTGTTTGCAAAATGTGCTGCGGGATTTATGGGGCTGCAGAGGTCGGAATGACTGGTAAGACTATTCCGTCGGATTCCCTTATTGTAGTTGTAGAAGGGAGACCAGGGGAAACCCTAGGAAGGGTTCCTCTAGAGCGCCATAATTCTTGAGCATCGGGTTCGAGGTTTTCCGTGTCGAAGGTTTAGTTTAATATAGGGGCCTAAATAATTACCAACGCTATTTTGGAGGTTCTTCATTATAACTATAGCATAAACGGCCCCAAAATCTATTATTAAGGCCCCTATATTATGGTACCCTTATACTAAGCCTTATAGTAGCTCCCCCTTTACAGGCACCCTATTCTAAAAATTAAGGCCCCTCCATTATGGGCTGTGGGGTCGCTGGGGTGTTCAGGGCTGCGGGTTTGGGATCTAAGAGGGGGGCTCGGGTCTGAAGCCTCATGCTTGAGGCTGAAAATTCTCCCAGAGATGATAAGTCCTAAGCGCGACAGCCTGAATCCTTCACCCCAGGTCTCTAAGTCCCAAACCCGAACCCGCCAAACCCTAAACCCTAAGTCCCTAAACCCTAAACACTAAACCCCAACCCCTAAACCCGAACCCCCAAAACCCGAAACTGTAAACCCAGGGGCCCTTATAGAACCTTTCTGGAATTTCTATAGACTTTCGCCCAGGGAACCCTAAAGCCAGGGAAGCCTAAACCCCAAACCCCAAACCCACGCGCCCTGTTTGAACCTGTCTGGAATTTCTACTATAGAGCCCCTATAACCCTAAACCCTTAAAACCTAAACCCAGGGCCATTATAGAACCAAACCTTTTGTTTTCTATTAGAGATCTCCGCCCAGGCAAGATCCCCATGCAGATCTGCCTTGGCATGGGCATTCTGGGCTACGTCATCATCTACGCCTCGGCCACCTGGGCGAAGTCCCAGTACCGACTTATATATATATATATATATATATATATATGTATATATACACACATATATATATATATATATAAAAGCACATTCCTATATATCTATGTTTACACATATACATATATGTATGTAGATGCATATATAAGGGTTTAGAGTGTAGGACTTTCGGGATTCAGGCTTCAAAGCGTAGGGGCCAGGATCTGGTGTCCGGGTTTAGCTTGATAGTATGATTAGTACGGAGGCTGCCTCTCCTGTTCGGGCGTTCGTTTTGTCGCACTGGGCTGTGCTTGTTTGTTGCAGTAGAGTATTACGTGTACTCCAAAACCCGACCCTGCAGGCCATTTGGGTGAAGTCCTACTACCTCTTCATGATCGGGAATGTCTGGAACAACTTCTTCGGGAACTGCATGCAGATCGCCTCGACGTACTTCGGGCAGCTCTTCGACGGCGCGGAGCGGGACCCGCAGCTCAGGGCCACGGTTTTCGCATGCAGCGATACTATGTTATAGTAACTGTTATAGTATAGAATACTCAACCCCAAAACGAAATACCGCCCAAACCCTACCCCTTTGAAGCAAACAAAGGAAACCTCAACCCACGAGCATTAGATAGCTGAAACCGCCGATCCCAAGTCAAGCCCACATCTTGATGTGGACGTTGACGTCGAGCTTCCAGCAAACTTACTCCTAGAAACCTGACAATTTCCTGATCCGTTGCGAGTCTCGTCCCTTCAAACAAGGCGGGTGTTTGGGCTGCAGGCATGCTTGCATCTTCCACGAAGATGGTTTTGTATGTTCAAGATCCTACTTCTCGATGTCTCTGGAAACTCCGAAACCTAGGCATTTTGCAACCCGCCACCCTGACCCAAATCCTGCAGAGCGGCCTGAGAAGCCAGCCAGAATAGTCTTCTTGAGGGTTTGCAATGCAAGTAGACTCAAAACGTATGCAAAGCCCGTCGAATCATTCAGGCTCTTCCGCCCTCAACGAGTCATCCTGACCCTAAAACCGAAGCTTATGGACCCTTAGCCTTAAAGTAAACGCCAGAAAGTTGGAATATGATTATCCTGAACCCTTTATGGTAAATTATAAGGTATCCTACCCCGAAACCATATTCCAACTTTCTGGGGTTCCCTTTAGCCCAGGCCCTGATCCCTGAAAAGGACAACTACAACTCCATGGTACTGGGCATGGGTCTGATCGGAGGGACGGTTGGTGCCTTCATCGTGATGCCGCTTGGCCTAGAGAGCTACTCATGGCATGTTGAGGGTGTAGAGGGTCTGGTATAGGAGGTTGAAGACTGAGTGGTACGTCGTATCTTCAGAAAAGTCGATTACGTATTGCAGCAACCCAAGACCACAGCCTCAGCCCGATTTGCCAAGCCCTTTCCCTCCCCTCTTGCAACCCGCCGCAGAGAGCCCAATACACCTCAATTTCGGAATATAGTTTAGCTCATAATACGCACCCTCCTATAGTTTAAGGTATATTCTTATATTCCCCTCAGTCGTTAAGGATAATTCAGGGGTGTTGGGCCCTCTGGGCACCCCCGAGGCCTTTCTCCAACAACCCCAGCAACGGCGCCAACTACTTCGAGTCCATCTGGTTGGCCGCCGGAATTACCGGAGTTGCCATGTTGGCTGTGACGGTGGTGCTCGTCCCGCCGGACAAGAATAGGACAGCCTTTTGTGGAGAGAGACCACCCTCAAGCACCCAGTAAAGAAGCGCTGAGGGTACCTTATTATACTTCTCCTGAGGCCCCTATATTAACAACCCTTCTCCCTAAACCCTAAACCCCAAACCCCAAAACGCACATAGCACAACCAAGGCCCCGAAGCCCTGAATGTAAGCCGGTCGTTTTGGGACTCCTTGGGAGCCTCTGGGCTCTAGAGTGGTGTGAACGATGTCGGGATACGGTTGATGATGTAAATCCTGCATGACCCATAATAAGGAATATCCCATAACTCCCATAGTCTAGGGTCCTTAAGGTAATACCTTAAGGACCCTAAACTATGGGAATTATGGTATATTCCTTACTATGGGTCATGCAGGATCTATATCATCAACTGTATGTCGGGGCTTTCAAGGTGCTTGGCCGGTTAACATCCGAAGACCCGACCTGGGCAAAAGCCTAGGTATGCCTTTGGGACATTTTGGGTTTCCCCCTTGTAGGGCCTGATAGGATCTTTTTTATGAATAAAGTTCATATAGGCTTTAGAGGGCCATCCCAGAATTCAGCATGACGGAAGATCTACCGAGCCCTGCAAGGCCTCTTCTTGCTTTAGTTTGGCGCCCGGGGCTGAGGCCCTTAAGCGGTTCTAGGTTTCAGTTCTTAGGTCTTAGGAGTTTTTTGGGATTTCGTTTCGAGTCCAGGGTTTTAGGAATCCGCCTTTTTTCTCACTTTGGCACGCTAAGCTCGAAGAGGCCCTAAACCCTAAACCCCTAAAGCCCCAAACCCTAAGCTCGAAGAAGCCCCTGCAAGGAAGGAGCGGGAGACGACAGACGAGGAGCCCGATCCCGCCGTGCACGCGACACCGCGCATGGCATCGAGGAGCACGCCAGGGCTCGACATACACTTGAGGTTTAGGGTTTAGGCGGTTTAGGGTTCAGAGTTTAGGGTTCAAAAGTTTAGAGTTTAAGGTCTAGGGTTTAGGGTTGAATGGTTAAGAGTTTGAGGTTTAGGGTTTAGGGTTTGCCGTGGAATAGCTGCAAAGGAGCTTGAATTCAACAGGAGCATCCTTGAACTACGGTTGATGATACAGATCCTGCATTACCTTAAGGACCCTACACTATGGGAATTATGGTACATTCCTTATTATGGGTCATGCAGGATTTATATCATCAACCGTAGCTCCGAAGGGAAAGCCCGGGCCTGGGACTGGGATCCTAATCCAAGCTCAGGAACCCCTGAGCCCTTTACCTCCAGAACTCCTTCTACTACTATTTTTGGGGGGGGTTCCTTACTATAAGTATAGTATAATGGGCCCCCAAAACCCGATTCTGATTATTAAGGCCCCTATATTTGGGTCTTACAGACCATCAAAGAAATCCCAGTCAACACGTGTGAACCAGCCCAGCAGGATTATGGTAACATCGGTAAACATCCGATTGAGCACCTCAGACCTCGTCTCAGAACACACATCAAAGAATCACCATCACCAGCGCAATGTAGAAGCCTCGATCGCCCAAAACAACTTCAAAGTGAAAGAACCGTACAAAGACCTCGGATCCTCAAACAAGTATCGCCGTCTCCTGACCCTAACAAACCCTGAAGCTTAAACCCTGAACCTAAGCCCTCAAAACTAAAGCTTTAGCAAGCCGTACCTGGGGATCCAAAAACCTACCGTTCTAAGGGCTAATCATACCCTCTAATTAAGGGGTCATCGCCTACTATTTTGTAGGGTTTGGGAATACAGGGAAACCCTACAGGATCCTTCTCCTGACTGTGGTGGCCTCGGCACTGGACTCGGCGGGCGACGAGGGCACTCGCATGGCGCGCGGGACGGTGCTGACCAGGCGGGATTTCAGTCTGTGTCTAGATCTACCTCCAGATCTAGATTGGTATCTCTATCAGATCTATATCTGCATCAGTATCTCTATCCATATCTGCATATTTCTAGCACTGTCTCTATCTTTATCTCTATCTCTGTCTCCTATCTCTCTATACCTTTCCATCTCTCCATCTCTTCATCTCTTCATCTCTCCATCTCTCCATCTCTCCATATCTATATTTGTATCTGTATCTTTAGCTATATCTGTATCTGTGTCTACAGCTACAGCTCTGTCCTTTATCCATACCTACAACGACTCATAGAGGCTCTATCAGGACTCCACAATCAGGATGTATGTGTATAGAGCTGAGAAGCACGATTGAACACGCATCTATTCCAGGACAGTTTTCTCCACTGACTTCAAGCACAGTTGAGCACACATCAATTCCCAGGACAGTTGGCTGTGACCGACCACAACCAGGATCGAACGTGCATCCAATCAGGACTTTATCCCACTAGGACGGTTAGTTTTCTCCGACAGCACGATTGAACACGCTCCTAGTCTAGAAGAGTTATCTTCGACGAGCTACAAAGACGAAAATCCAAGGAGGGTCTTTTCCGACCGACCACAAGCGTTCCAGAACAGTTTTCTTCGACCACCTACCAAGAGTGCACAATTCTCAGGACAGTTTTACTCCGACTGACCACAAGCACGATTGAACACGCATCTATTCTAGAAGAGTTGTCTTTGACAAGCTACAAAGACGAAATTCCCAGGACAGTCTTTTCCGATTCGACCACCTACCAAGAGTGCGCAATTTTCAGGACAGTTTTCTCCGACCGACCACAAGCACGATTGAGCACGTATCTATTCCACGACAGTTTTCCTTGACCTGCTACCAAAGCCGCAACATTTCCAGGATATTTTTCTCCAACCACCACAAGAACTATTGGCATCCATGAGTTGGCCAGCTAGCTGAAGCACACAATTACCAGGGCAGTTTTCTCCGACCGACCGCACGCGAGTCCCATTCCACCGGTTTGTGCGGGACTGCGATGGGAGAAAGAGTTCTGGAAGCTGAGCAATGAGTCGCTTGCGACACGTTGACGGAGCTTCTGACAGGAGCACCATTCAGGAGCCGGACATGCGCGGCCCGTGACGGGAAAATGTGCTCACATGCACGCCGTAATTTGCAGTTTCGGCTGGTCGCTAACCCCCTTGGAACGAATAGGGTTGAGGACGTTGGGGACATCGAGCGCTTCGAAGGCAAAAATTAGCATGGGACTGTTGCCGGGAGCGGGAGCACGGTTCATCAGGCTGGAGACTGCAACAGGTATTCGAACACTCAATGAATGCGGTATCCCCGGAGCGTACGGCAGCGGGACTGGGAATGGGAAGAATGCGATTGGTAGAATTATCCGTGCCACAGCGGGAGCCGCGCAACCGCCGCGTGTGCCAGCCGGGGGCCTGCATGCAAACGCTGACAAGATGCTGTTCCAGCTAAAGGGAACTCCAGAAAGTTGGAATATGGTTTCATGGTGGGATACCCTATAATTTACCATAGAAGGGTCAGGATAATCATATTCCAACTTTCTGGCTTTTACCTTAACGTCATCAGTAAGAACCCCTGGATGGGTCACAAATTTCCAGACGAGTCAATCCCTGAACCCAAGTGAACCTTCAGCTCCACGATGGAGGCTCTTTCCGGATTGGCAGACGGCAGAGAGACAAAACTACCTGCTCATGGGACTGCTAGTTATGGTCATTCTCTCCTTGCTGCTCCTCCAGGCGGGTTCTTCGAACTTGAGGCTTTTGAAACCTGTTCAGGCAACCGGCTGACAGCCTCGTCATTCCGCAATCAATAGTCACGGTTCCCCAGATATCCCAAATGTCCGGAGTTAGTTAACCCGAAGCCCAAACACCAAAACCGGAAAGCACCCAAACCCTAAACTGCAAGTGCTTAGGGTTTAGGGAGTTCCGGGTTTAGGATTTTGGGAGCTAAGGGTTCCGGGCTTAGATTAAGGTCCTTTGGGGGTCGGATCAACAGTTGACATTCTCCAGGAAGTATCCTTAACAGCAAGGCAGTTTGGGATCTGGGGTTTAGGGTTTACCTTTGGCCCAAAAAACCTACTTTTCCAAAGAACTATATATAGAAACCATAGTAAGGAACCCTAAAAAGGTAGGTCTTTTCGGCTACAGGGGTTAGCATTCTCTGGGAAGTATCCCAAACAGCAAGGCAGATTGGGATCTGGCAGTGGGGATCTGACGCAAATACAACTTCGAAGCTGGAACTGTCGGAAACCTGACGAAACACAATGCCGTTTGCTTGTGAGTTTCCGAAAATTAGGGGTACCTTATTTTGGGGTCCATATAATAAGACCATTTAGGCTACTATATTAGGGTCCCGTATTTTCAGAAACTCCCACTTGAGTCGGGATCCTAAGTGCGATTTGATTCATGTCACGTCCCTTAGTCCCAAGAGGTGCCCTAGGCTCCGTTGTCAGGTGCTGCAGCGCTGTATGAACCCTAAACCCTTCCTAGACCCTCCCCCCCAACTACCCTCTCTTATACCCCAAATACCCACTATTAAGGACCATAAGGACTCTCTTGTCAGGTTCTCCAGCGCTGCATGAACCTGGCAGCCGTCTCGGTGATCGGTTGCGCCTTCACGCTGGCGACGCAGCTGGTTCTGATCATCGAACTGGACGTGTGGCCGCATCCCGACGTGGACACAGACCTCACTTTAAGGACCAGGGGACTTAGTAAGTAAGGTTATAAGTTATAAGTACCTTAATTGGGTTATAAGTAGTTATAAGTATAGTTACCTTACTTATAACTCTAGTTACTAAGTCCCATGATCCTCTAAGCAGCAGGGTTTTGGTAGAGAGGGACAGCTGCAGCCCGTACCACCACTCTAAGCCGTAAGGTTCTTGGGGGTCAAACCCCCAAACCAAACCCTACACCCTAACCCTTCCCTAAACCAAAACCCGAGGTTCTTGGGGTCAACCCCCAAAAAAGTCATTAAGCCACCTATACCACTCTAAGTCCAGAGGTTCTTGGGGGGGTCAAACCCCAAACGAAACCGTACACCCTAAACCCCAAACCCTAAACCCCAAACCCAAAAACCCCAAACCCTAAACAGTAAACCCCAAGCCTAAACCCTAAACCCCAAACCCTAACCCTAGACCCAAACCCTAAACCCCAAACCCTAAACCCCAAACCCTAAACCCCAAACTCTAACCCCAAAGAATCGCAAGGTTCCTGGGTGTTTGGTACACCGGGAAGCTCTTCGGCTTCCTCTCCACCCTCGCGTCAGGGCTGATCATCACGGAGATCGCGCCCAAGGCTGCGGTTTAGGGTTTATAGGGTTTCAGGTTTCAGGTTAAGGGGTTTAGGGGTTTAGGTTTTCAGGGTTTAGCGTTTTATTGAGGGGTTTAAGGGTTAGGGGTCGATGTTTAGGGTTTGAGGGGTTTGAGGGGTTTAGGGATTAGGGGTTTAGGGGTTTAGGGTTCAAGGTTACCGTTTGAAGGTTTAGGGCTTAGCTTTGGTTTTGAGGAAGGGTGCCGATAAAGATTCTGTGAGGGTTCTATGAGAATTCTGCCAGAGTCCATGGCATTAAGCAATTAGCTACCTGAAACTTGCAAGATATCTTGTTGACTCGTGATGCGGGACGTTGCTCGTCAGCACCATGTCTTCCAACAAGAAAACCGTCCCAGATATCTTCAGCACTGCAGTGAGTTTTACCCCGAGCCCTAAACCAAAGGTCTGAATCAACCCTAATGTAGAACCTCAGTATAGAACCTTATAAAGAAGCTTAAATTCTACTATCGAACTAGGTTGTTTGAAAGAACACCCAATCGCAGGATCCGTCAAGAGGATGGGTTCCAAAGAGTGGCTGTCTACTATAGGGGCCTTAATAGTTACCAATACTAGTTTGGGGGTTCCTTTTTACAATTATAGTATAATGGGCCCCAAGACCCTAATCCAATCATTAAGGCCCCGAGGATGGGTTCCAAAGAATGACTGTCTATCTGCCGGGTGTCAGATCCGAGGTTTCCGTTTTTTTTTTTGGTTTACGGTTTAGGGTTTTAGGGTTTAGGGTTTTAGGGTTTAGGGTTTAGGGTTTAGGGTTTAGGGTTTTAGGGTTTTAGGGTTTTAGGGTTTAGGGTTTAGGGTTTTGGGGTTTAGGGTTTAGGCGTAGTGTCTGGAGCGTGGGAGTGTCAGATTTTCAGGGGTTTTGGGCTTTGCAGCTTGGAAACCCACCGACTTCCACCTCCGAAACCCTTCAGGAATTGAAGCCCTGCTCCCCAAAAGCCCTAAGCTCCACAACCTAAGTTAAAACAGGTCCAAACCCCAGACCATCGACCGCAAAACTTACTAGCTTCTGCGTGAAAGCCTTTTTGGCTTCAGCTCACAAATCCCATTCTTCCACTTTGCAGCAAACAGGCTTTAGTGCCCACGCGCCCTTTCAAGCTTTTGGGCTGTAGCTGTAGCTCAAGATGCCTAGTTGGAATACCTGGAGGGTCATATCCTACCCCAGGTTTAGGGTATCTCGTTTTATGTTCAGGATCTCCTATATAGACAAGTGGGTACCTTAAAAAAAGGGGAATGAGCCTATAGGTACTAGGAAACTTTGTTGAATCTCTGCTTGGCAAAGTCCGCTTGCCAGGCACAGCTGGGTCGCTGGAACGGTATTAACGAGGCCTTCCCCCGGCTTTGGGTTTAGGGTTTAGGACTTTGGGGTTTAGGGTTTAGGGTTTAGGGTTTAGGGTTTAGGGTTTAGGGTTTAGGGTTGAGGGTTTAGGGTTTAGGACTTTGGGTTTAGGGTTTTTTGCTAAGCCCAACAAAATGAGTGCAGGAGTTTAGCCATGTGGGGTTTTGGGTTCAGGGGTTTAGGGGTTTAGGGGTTTATGGTTTGTGAATTTTGGTTTTTTGTAAGGTGAACCGACAAACATCTCAAACCTGGAAGTGTTGAGGATTAAGGGCTGGATGGTGTGGTTTCACGGATACTGGTTGCAAATGTTGTCCTTACATATCTACACGACAATACACGTGAATGAAGTCCCTCCTGAAGTGTGATTCAATGAATGTATACACCTATAGGGACCATAAGGGGATACTACTACCATTCAGATCCCTATGTTATCGGTTAGGGCTTTGGTAAGCTTCAGAGTTTCACGCGCCGGGAGGCTTGCTCCAACATCTCCATGGCCATCGCACCTCTGGTCTTTGCAACAGTGTACGACGAGGCCGCTATCTCGTGTCCCCCTTTTCAAACGGTGTTTTGCGCGTGCTTCAATTGCCGGTTGGGACGATGGTTGCTTCTGGCGGAAATACTTGGCTATATTTCTGCAAGAACGGTAAGAGCACAAAAATCCATACGAAGCCACCTACAACCACCCACTGCTTCCCAGGTGGGCAACGTGAGGGGCCAGGAGATGTTGGTCTGCACCTCCGTGACTTGGCTTTCCTTCTGCTGTAGGGTTTGGGTCTTAATGAGGGGTTTAGGGCTAGGGGTTTTAGGGTTTAGGGTTTTAGGGGTTTTAGGGTTTAGGGTTTAGCGGTTCACGGGGTTTTAGGGTTTGGGGAGTTTTTGCAGGGGTTTAGTACTATAAGGGTTAGAGGGTTTTCGGGTTTGGGGTTGACTGTTTAAAGCCGAAGAGCAGGTGATCTCCCTCTTCGCACTGGGCGCCTACATCCCGCTGGTGTCGATGATGCCCAAGAAAGCCAAGGAATGGCCCGGCTCATACCATTCCTACGGTTGATGACATAAATTCTGCATGACCCATAATAAGGAATATACTATAATTCCCATAGTTCAGGGGCCTTAAGGTAATGCAGGATTTATGTCATCAACCGTAGTGGTAGAGTAGGTAACCGTTAGCCAGTAGTATAGTCCCCATATAATCCTATACAGCCAAAAAGGTGAACCTTTAGTTCCCCATGAGACCCGACAAGCAGGCATCGGTCTGAACTATGTGCAACAGTAGCACCTTCTACTTCCTAAAGAGAACTCCAGAAAGTTGGAATATGGTTTCAGGGCAGGATACCCTATAATTTACCATAAAGGGTTTAGGATAATCATATTCCAACTTTCTGGCTTTTACTTTACATCTATAACCTACCAACACATGCTTCTCTGCAGGTTCATAACGTAAACCTCAACAAGGAATATATAGGGGCCCTACGATAAAGTATGGTCTGGTTTGTCAAGGTAATCTACCGTAGGGGCTTAAACAACTACCTATATTGTCTTGGGGGTTCCTTATCATAATTACAGTATAAACTGCCCCCCAAAACCCTATTCTAATCGTTAAGGCCCCTATATTACTACTATTTGCTTAAGAACCACCAAAAAATAAAAAATATATATTCCTTATGGGGTAATATAGGGATTATTATTTTTTATTTTTTGGTGGTTTCTTAAGCAAATAGTAGATTAGCTCCATCATCTTAGTCTGAGATGCCTCCGACTCTACTGGGGGCTCGGGGGTGCGGAGATGTCTAGTTCTTGTGCCCCTTTCGCTCTTAGAGCCTAGGCCCTAAACCCCAAGCTCCGGGGAAAAAGATCGGAGGAAGATTCCGTAGTTCATATTGGGGATCCTACTATAACTTAAGGTATACTCCTGAATCAAGACATGTTGGAGTCTTAGGCTTCGCTCGAAAAAGCTTTTTTCCGGAGGAAGAGCCGGAAGAGATGAAAGAGCTTTCCTACTACGAGGCGCTTTCGGATGAGGACTGGGCTCTTGTCAAGGCGTTTAACTTAAATAGGGTTTAGGGTTTAGGGGTTTAGGGTTTAGGATTTAGGGTTTAGGGGTTTAGGGTTTAGGATTTAGGGTTTAGGGGTTTAGGGTTTAGGGTTTAGAGTTTTAGGGTTTAGGGTTTAGGGAGTTTAGCTGAAACCAGAACCTACTAGTACTGCATGGGATCTGTCATAAATAGTATGGTTTCCTGATCATGCTACCTTAATCTAGTGATGCCGTAAGGGACCTGCAATAAATGATATGGTTTCCTCATTATGGTGCCTGAAATAAGATCCCCAAAACAAGAACGCAACCCTCAACGCTTAAACCCCTATAGAACCCGTAGAGTAACCCTTAAAGGACCTCGAGACCCCTATGAGTAACCCTTATAGATCCCTTAAAGGAATTTTGAATAAATCGCGTATACAACAAGAATCCTTAAAGGACCCCATTAGAGCCCAGAGGAGTTCAATGAGCTGCCCATGGAGATCGTGGAGCTGGTGGCCAGCAAGATGATCGAGGCCCACTTAAAGGGTTTAGGGTTTAGGGGTCTAGGGGTTTTGGGGTTTATGGGGTTTTAGGGTTGCTGGAGGCCCACTTAGAGGATCACGGGACTTAGTAAATAAGTACCTTAATTGGGGTTTTAAGTATAGTTACCTTACTTATAACCCTAGTTAAGATGATAGAGGCCAAAACGGGACCAGTTTGGGGGTTTTAGGGGTTTAGGGGGGGCTAGAGGTCTTCCGGTGTAGGGGTCTTAGAGGTTTTTAGGGTTTAGGGGTTTTGGGGGGTCTGAGGCCCACTTAAAGGATCATGGGACGTACCGTATTGGGGTTATAAGTATAGCTACCTTAAAGAAGCTGGGGGCAGAACCAGTTTTGGGGTTTTAGGGGCCTTAGGGGCTTATTGGGGTCTTAGGTTTTAGGGGTTTTGGGGTTTTGGGGTTTTAGGGGTTTTGGGGTTTAGGGGTTTTAGGGGTTTACGGGGTTTAGGGCCTAGGGTTTACCGGGTTTAGAGCTTAGGGGTTTAGGATTCTGGGGTTTTGGGGCTCAGGGATTTAGGGCTTAGGGCTTAGGGATAATCCGATTATGGGAAGCTGACCCGCCCAACAGGGCTGTGTAACCTCTTTCCAAGACTCAGTCACTCCAAGAAGCGAGCCCAGCACTCTTCATCGAAGCATAGAGACCCTGCATCGCATATGGATATGGGAGTTTCCGAAAATAGGGGACCCTAATCATATGCCCTAAATTGTAGGACCGTCATTAGAAAGACTCCAAAATAAGGTACCCCCCACTTTTCGGAAACTCCCATATGGGAATGCCCAAACCCTACAGAGCATTCAACTTTTAAACCTCTCCGCAGCCCTAAAACCACTGAAACCTGGAACCCCTAAACCTTACAAAGCACCCCCAGGCTGTGATTGTGACTATAAGGATTATATTAGGGTCCTATTATGTTCCTATTACACCACTGTTACAGGGTGGGGGGGCCTTCTAATTTAAACCTCACAAAGCACCCCCAGGCTGGTAAGGAGCCCCGGATGATCCACTGGGGAAGCTACGCCGACGACCGGCCGAAGCTCCCGGAGCATCAGGCGGAGAGCTGAACAACGGTGAACTACTTGGAGGATCATGGGACTTAGTAACTAGGGTTATAAATGAGGTAACTATACTTATCACTACTTATAACCCCAATTTCGGTACTTATAACCTTACTTACTAAGTCTCATGATCCTCTAAGTACAGGGGTTGGGGTTTAGGGTTTAGGGTAGGGTTTTAGGGTTTTGGGTTTAGTAGGGTTGGGTTTGAGTTTAGAGCCAACTATCAGGTGGAGAGCTTGGGATATGCAGGGGGGTGTTAGGGTTTAGACTTTTCTGGACACTTACATTCCTTCATAGGGTTACCATAGACTGGGATTCTCTGAGTCGGGTTACCATAGTGACCACGTCAAGGGTAACTAGCAGAGGCCCCTTCCCATAACGGAGGAATATGCTTTAGATCCCATCAGGTCTGCATCGGTAATGGAAGGCTTCTTGCTAAACTACCGGCTTCTGTGTGGTTGAGTGCAGTATGCCACCCTAAGCTACCAGACCCCTAAACTCCAAAAACAATAACAGTCGACTGAGGGTTTAGGGTCAATAACACCAACAATGACACCCAACAGGCCCAACAAACCCAAAGACACCACCCAAACACGCAAGGCCCGGGCCGTGAAGGACTTCGAGTACTACTCGCAGGCCTTTGTGCGGTTGTGCCTGGGCTCTTCTTGTAGCTTATAAAGCTGAAGCAGTTTGAACTAACACAGGGGCCTAAATGATTACCAATACTACTGTGGAGGTTCCTTATTCTATTTATTGTATAATGGGCCCCCCAACCCTATTCATGTTATTCATGCCCGAATATTAGCATGATCAGGAACGCACATGACTCCTGATTATATGTCCCACAAAACACACATGGATGAGGTCGAAGCAAGACCATGGCAGCTGACATTCGGCTTCCCTAGGAATCAGTGTGAACCTTGTTTATCTTTCGAAGTAAGTAGGGAATCCTGAAATCCGGAACAAGTAGGAAATTCGTGAAATCCGGAACAGAAGCCCTGAGTTCCTACTTGTCAGAAGGCCTGAGGCTCTAAACCCCGAGCCGTTGAAACTCTAAGCCCCAGGCCTACAACCCAAACCCCTAAACCGTAGACCTTGAACCGGCCCGCTACAACAGGCCTTGAAGGCCAGGAACCCGAAACCCTAAAACCTTAAACCCCAAAAGCTAACCCTAAAGTGTAAACCCTAATCTCTGAAGCCTAAACCTTAATCCCTAGACTCTAAACCCTAATCCCTGAAACCCTAACCCCTGAAGCTTAAACCCTAAGCCCTAAAGCCTTAAACCCCAAGCCCTGAAGCCCTAAACCCTAAACCCTGAAGCCCCAAGCCCCAAAACGCCCTGAACAAGAGCCGAGGCTTTCCAACCGGGAGTTGCTGGCCAAGGACTTTGGGAAAAGGGTGCTGGAAGGCTTCGCATAAGGTTCCTTTAAAACGTACCTTATAAGGGTCGTTTAGGTTACTTAAGGGTTCCATATAGGTAGGTTCCTTGAAAGCTTCCACAAAATGGTCTCTAAAGGGTAAGTGCTGGAAGGCTGCTCTAAAGGATCCTTCTACCCAGACCCCCTTTGGAGGATCCAAGAAGTAGATCCCTTAATGGGGGGTTTCTATAAAGTACCTTAGTAGTACAGGGCCCCAAATTAGGGGATCTACTTTCTAGATCCTCCCAGGGGTCTGGGTCTTTTGGGGTACTTAAGGGTCCATGAAGGTACGAGAAGGGTACTTTGAAGGTTCCTTGAAAGGTTTTGGACGGGGATCTGTAAAGGGTACTATAAGGGTGGTGCCCGGGGATTGCCTATAAGGGTGCTATAAGGGTGGTGCCAGGGTATATTAGAAGGATTCGCATCAGGTTTACTTGAACAGGGTTCTAGAAGGCTTTAGCCAGGCAGGGTGGAGGATCTTCAAGGCTTTTCGGTTGTCGGGTTTTCGATACAACCTCCTTCTAAACCCCCTAAACCCTAAGCCCTAAAACCTACAGCAGACAGCCTTAAACCTTCATTCAATCTTTGCCTTCCCGATGTGTCCCAGTTTTGGAGTCGAAACTCCCGCAGTCTTCGAAGCAAGAGTGCTCATCGGATCTTTACAGGGGGGTTTGTTGGGGGTTTTATCTGGGCTGTGTAAGGGCTCTAAAAAGGCGTTGTAAGGAGGGCTTCGTAAGAGTTTAAGAGGATACATATCTGACAGCATATGAAGGGTCGCTTGAAGCTTTTGAAGCAGATTGCGTTACCCTTGGGATCAGAGTGGCCCAAAAGCCTCATATAGTATGGTCTTTGGACCCAAAAGCCCTAGTATATGAGTCCTTACAGCCTGGATATACCTAAACCCTAAACCCCTCAATCCTAAGCCCCTAAACCCTGAACCCAAAGCACCAGCGATACTGAGAGGTTTGAGAGTCTCTGGCTGACGCGTAGCTTGGGGGTTTCCAGACCCCGGCGGGAGGATCCAAAAAGCAGATCCCTGAATGGGGGTTCCTGTAAAGTACCCTCAAATCAGGGGATCTACTTTCTAGGCTCTACACCCTAAACCCTAAACCCCTAAACCCTAAACCCTATAGATCCTCCAAAGGGTCTGGGTTGAGGCTTTGTTTCAGGTGTTTCGGCCATCAGGATGGTGGTGTGGGGGCTTGTTCCTTCAAAAGGGCTCCTAGAAGGGATCTACAGGGTTTATTGTTGATGGGAGTTTCCGAAATTAGGGGGTACCTTATTTTGGGGTCCTTATAATAAGGATCTTAATATTCAGGGTACTGTATTAGGGTCCCCTATTTTGGGAGTTCGGGGCTGTCGGTAGAGTTTAGGTGTGAGGCTTGAAGTTGGTTGTAGCTGGTCTTTGGAGTACCATACTTTAGTACTTTTTCTGGGACCTGCTACTTAAAGGGAAACATTATGAAATAAAAGTCTATACTTTTCTCGCCCTAGTTACCCCAAAGGCTCCATGTACCTTTATAGTAGATACTTAAGCCTTAAAGGGGTCCCCATATAGGTACTTTAAGGCCTAAGTATACACTATAAGGGTACATGGAGCCTTGGGGCACTTCAAAGCCCAGTTAAAGGGTTGGGTGTTTCGGATGAAGTTTGAGGGGGCTTCGAGCCTAGGGTGGAGAAGTATCGGGTTTAGGGTTTGGGATTTGGGGTTTCAGGTTTAAGGTTGAAGGGTTTCAGGTTTAGGGTTGAAGGGTTTCAGGTTTAGGGTTGAAGGGTTTCAGGTTTAGGGTTGAAGGGTTTAGGGTTGAAGGGTTTAGGGTTTATTTTTGTCCGAAGTCTCACGTGATATCCAGAGGAGAAGAAAGAAATGGCCCTCTGGGCTACGGCATCGAGCGGTGTGGACCGAGACAGAGCGAAGAACGAGGTCGGTCGAGATGTGTAGCCGTAAAAATAAGGTACCCCTAATTCTCTGAAACTCCCAATTGCGACCGTGATGTCTGAATGCTCCTCGTCTCATTATTGCATGTTGATGTCATCGTTCGCGTGGTGGACTGCATAGTTGCATGGAGCCTTGAATATTGCCTAGGTCAAGATCCCATAGTATTCAGCATCCCCGCTTCGAGGAATTTTCCTTCACCAGCAGGCTTTCGAGCGTGCAATTGCATGCATACTGATGTCATATTCGCGTATTGTGGCAAAACCTATGAGGAACAGGTGTACACACCCATGTTCAGATGTTGAAACATATATATATATATATATATGTATATATATATATATAGGTAAATATATATGTAAATACGTGTGTGTATGTGCATCTGTATAGAGTCATAGTTTTGAAAGGTATAACGCACACACAGGAGTGTGTGTGTGTGTGTGTGTGTGAGAGAATGGTTGCCTCGCAGATGGGCGCTTGGCTCGCAGACTACCTGGACGACGCGGGCTACATCGGCTGGGAAATGCACGCCTCGATCTACAAGGCCGGCAGCAAAGCCTCGGAAATCCCCCTCAGCCCCCATAGATCCACGTAAAGCCACGTAAAGGTTCGAAAATCTTAGAAGCCCTCATGAGCCCTCTTAAGACCCATGAAGAGTGCCCAGTAAAGAACAGAGGAAGCCCGAAAAATCCTCAGAGTGCCTTCTGCAAAGCATGTCAGCAATGATCCAGCGATCCTCCGCAAAGCCCGTACAAAACAGCAGGGCCTTAATGATTAGAATAGGGCTGATTTGGGTTTTGGGTTGTGGGTATACCATAACATACCTGTATCAAGGAGCCTCGAGGCACCCTATTCTAATGATGTATGGCCCCACATATTCAAGCTTTCCACATGCCCTGCAAGGAAGAACCCGAAGCTGGCAAGAGCCCTATGCCAAAAATCCTAAACCCAGGGAACTCCAGAAAGTTGGAATATGGTTTCATGGTAGGATACCCTATAATTTACCATAGAAGGGTTAGGATAATCATATTCCAACTTTCTGGCTTCTACCTTAAGCCCTAAGCAAACCCGAACCGAAGGCCATGGTCATGACGGCCTTTCCTCCCATCGATCCCCTGGACGGCGTCAAGCCGGAATTCCACAAGATGCCGGGAAGGGGGGAAGGGGAGGTTGATTAGGAGTAGTAGTAGTAGTAGTAGTAGTAGTAGTAGTAGTAGTAGTAGTAGTAGTAGTAGTAGTAGTAGTAGTGGGTTTTGTATGGCATGAGAAGATTTTGATCAAAGAACGGTTTGAGAAGGGCTCCATGAGGGTTGTGAATTTCGTCCAGAAGTTCGTTTTTCTCAGGGCTCGACAAGGGTCCACAGGGGTGCTGCATGGCTGTATACGAGGTTTGCAACAGTTTTGCGAGGATGCTACAACCAAGAGTTCTCATTGGGAGGGCGCTGCTAGCAAAACTGCAGCTGATCAGTTAGGGTGGTGCCAGGCCCTCTCCGCACACACACACACATGCAAGCAAACATTGTGGTTGGGTTGGAACCTTTCCGCAAGTACCGGCCAACATGATACCATGATGACCCAAGCGAGTTTAGCCGGAATCTGCAGCCCAGTGCAACTAAGGCACGCCGTCCACAGCTTCAGAAGTTTGTAAGACGCTAGCCCCCGGGCAAACAACGGCGCAGAGGAGTCGTTCACCAATAGCTCGAGTGCACCCACCAGCATCAGGGGGAGAAGAGGTGCCTTCTTGGTCGGGGGTGCCCCGATCTCAAGATCATGTGTCGCCTGATTTACGAAATTCTTTAGAATTGGCAAATCAGCCAAGCGCTGCCCTGCCGCAACGCCGCCCTTCCTTTCCATGAAAGACAGAGCTTCGAGGATGGCATTAGGAACACTGCGGCCGCATGGCTCGGCAACACGATTTTGCAGGTAGTCCAATACCACACCAACATGTTTTGGCCATGGGCAAGCATTGAGTCCCAAGGAAAAGACGCGCAACTTTCTCCACTCACGCACCCGCTTGCGTATGGTTGACGCGCGCATGCTGCCAAGTGACGCAGCTATTGCCGACTCCGGACTTGAAGCCAGCTGCGCTTGCCGAACCAGCGGCGTGTTTGCTTCAACAAAGAGCTCCACAAGTTGCGCACGCCACCGCTGTAGCTCGGCCTTTTCGATAGCTGCCCGGGACAACCCTAGCTTAGAGTCCGCGAGCCTCCGGGCTGCTCGCGTCGGCCAAGCATTGCGCTCTTTACGAGCCCCCGAGTGCTTGACAAGCCAAGACAAGGTGTCTTGCAAACCGGCGACTTCACTGGAGTTAGAAGATGCGAGCTTTTTAGCTAGAGAGACCTTCTGCCAAGCAGGGTCCAGTAGACCACGACGCTTGTTCCGTCGCTGCACGCGGGGCAGAGCTCTCAACTGCAAGGTTGAGAAAATCTGGATTGCTCTGCGACGGTCATGCTGAGGAACATATGAAGTCATCTCTGCAGTTAACTCGTCCACGTCTTCAAACATATAGGCTAGGTAAGCATCATCTGGCAAATGCCCGCCAGCTGCACCATATGCTGCACGAAACCTTCGCGGGAGCTGCGCCCAAAGATCTGCGTCTGGCAACGAAAGATCCACGATTTCTGCGTCTGATTCACTTTCAGTGGAGGTCTGGCAACGAAAGATCCACGATTTCTGCGTCTGATTCACTTTCAGTGGAGGACGCCATAGCGCAGAATAGCACAGGACAGCACAGATCAAGATCGAAAATCAGGGCGGCTCCCGTGCTGCTCCCGGTCTACACACCGGTACAACCACAATCACTGTGCTTCAGACACACAGCTTGAGCCAAAATGGCTGACAAACGGTGACCCCTGCCCAGATTTTTGATCGGGCAAGGGCGGGCCACTGGGAGTCCCCATCCTCATGCAAGCCAAACTTGTCGTGGGGTGGAAACCTTTCCACAAGTATGCTCTACCTGAATAATTGCAGAATATCTCCTGAATTGTTCTTTAGAGTTCACGAGCTAATATAGCCCCCAAACCGGATTCTAATCATTACTTGCTAAGGCTACCCTAGACCCTACACCCTGAACCCTAAACCCTAAACCCCAAACCCTAGAGACCGTAAAGCCCCTCCCAAAACTCTCAACTCGAAATGGAGGTCCTTGGAAACCTTCGAAGACAACATGACCCGTGTGCTGGAGGTCACGGGGACTTCCTCCTCGCGATTCTATGATGGGGCTTCATTAAGGGCTCCTTTAAGGGTTCCTTAATATTGTTAGATCTAAGTTTTAGAAGGTACTGGTAGGGTCTTGCTGGGTGCACGTGCAGGTGGCTTCTCGAGATAATGGGTGAGTGTAGTTTAGTGTTACTTTCTATCAACCAGACAACCTTCTCCAGATCAGATCTTTAAGATCATCGCCGTCGTGACTGCAATTTTTCGGCTGCCATGGCTGCGATGTGAGTGCCAGGCTGACTCCGACTGGTTCAGTATCGGTAGAGTTGTCTTGATGATGATGATGATGTTTCTGTCTTTGGTCCTAAAGCAGTGGTAGACTTGGCAAGAAGTGCAGGAAGATCACTGATAGTGGCAACAGTGGCAGTTGTAACATCACTTCAGCAAGGCTGGTCGTAACGGGTCTGATGGGTAGCCGGAATTCCGGTAAGGCAAGTATGAGCGGTACTATGTGTGATTACAGTGCGAGCACTTGCAGGTATCACGGATCTTCAACTGGATAACATTTGGGTCTTAGGAGCATGCCTATTCCTAAGCACTTTTCTTGGCCCGAGAAAGAACAATCCCGTCAAGCCCAGAACCGAATATGATCAATAAGTCAACAACCCCCTATAGCCCCCACAAAATCATACTACACTTTTCCCCGTCAAGCCCATTCTGCTTGAATTCTGTTTCGCCGTCTTCGAAGATGTGGGATGGTGCTGGATTCCCGCATCTGCTTAAACTCTACAAGTAAGGCCGTATAAATAAATAAAACCCGATCATACCCAAACCCTAAACCCTGAATCCCTAACCTACATGCAGACCTGGGAGAAGAGGAGTGCCAACAAACACACCCTACACCCTCAACCACAGACCGTAAATCCTAAACCGTGGTTTGGGAAGGTGATGGACTCCCACCTCGCGGAGCAAAGACGTCTCCGGTCGCTGGACAGCGGAAGCATCACCGGCCTGCTGCGGCGCCGCTGAGAGCGCCGGGGTTTCGTAGGATTAGTGAAGCTTGCAATGATATCAAGGTTCCTCTACACTTTTGCCTTCAACCCTAAACCCCAAATCTTAAACCCCAAACCCTGGGGACTATTCCTATTTCGGCTCATAATTTTGCAAACGCGTGGGGCGAGCGCCGTACCGGCTGACCTCCTAAGGAGAGGGAATTCCACGAGGCCACGGAGCGGTTGTCCTTCTGAGTATTAGGACTCAGGACCATTAATGTAGGGGCCTTAAGAATTAGGATAGAGTTCCTTAAAAGGGGCTCCTTGAAGGGCTACTATACGGCTTCGAAAAAGGGTGCTATGATAGGGTTTGGGGGTACATTTTACAAGAGTCATAAAAAGGGACCCCCCGAAGGAGCACAAGGGCACAGTTGAGGTTTAGTGGCTTTTGTGTGCTAAACCCGTATGAACCCCCAAAGACGCCTTAAGGGTGTCCCTTTATGGAGCCCCTTATGCAACTAGAAGGAGAGCTCTTCTAGAGCCCTGATACAACCTTTAGAAGAAACTCCCTATTTTGCACATGTAGAACCCTTATACAACAGTTAAGTACAAGAAGTGCATATATATATGTATATATATATATACAGTAAATGCACATTCCTACATAAATACATATAAGGAAACCCTTATTTCGAAAGGAGCCCCCTTTTGATCGCTTTTTGCTCTGGCCTCGAGGGGGTTCCTCCCGGCTCTTTGCTTGAGTGGAATCTCGCCTGCCTCTGTTCTCAGGAACAAGCTTAGGGGTTTAGGGTTTGGGGAAGGAACCTTGGGATTCTCTGGGGTTTAGGGTTTGGGGTCTAGGGTTAGAGTTTGGGGTTTAGGGTTTAGGCTTTAGGGATAATTTAGGGTTTAGGAGTTTAGGGTTTGGGGAAGGCTATAGGGATCATTCAGGGTTTGGGGTTTAGGGAGGGGCTTTAGGGATAACGAAAGTACAGAGTAGTTTATTGTGATTCGTATTGCTGTAAGACTGTCACCTTGACTCTTCGCATTCCCGAACCATTTTATGGTTGTGGAATGATTCGGGGAGCCTCTCGAAATACTTCGGCAACAATAAGTTTACTGCGACCCGCGGTCGTAAGTCCCAAAAATTGCCTCGGGCTGCAGAGCCTCACCCTGGATCTTGGCCTTAAACTCCGAACCCTCCCCCGCTCCACCTCTACGGAGCTGACAAAAAACTTGTACCACAAAAGATACAAGGTAGGGCTTTGGGACATTTTATATTTTCCCTTATTGGGCTTAAGAGGATCTACTAATATTTTTCAAAGGCTTTAAAAGCCCCACCTAGGATAGCTTTGTAGTGAATTCCTGATATCAGGCCAACTAGCACAAGCTAGCTCCTGTCAGTGCACAGGCCCCTAACTTGAAATGCCTAGCCATGTCGAAATCGCGGGGCTTTGCCGGGTTTCTACAGGTTCCAGCAACGTTTTTCTATTGCTCACCAGTGGTTGAGCTCCTTGACTAATAGGGATTATCATCATCCCTGGCTCCTTACTTAAAGGATCATGGGACTTAGTAAGTAGGGTTATAAGTAAGGTGACTATACTTATAATTACCCTATAACCCCAATTAAGGTACTTATAACCTTACTTGCTAAGTCCCATGATCCTCCAAGTAGCTCCTCCAATATCAACGTTTAGATTGTTTCAGGGTCCAGATTCAGGGTCCTCTGTCTTCTGCGAAGCCATAGCTAATACGCTCGCTGCCTGCTGAGAACAAAGGCTTGGATGGACCATCCAAACTTCAAGTCTTCAGCCAGCTCACATGCCCCCCCAGAGGGTTCGATTTCACCCGGAACAGCTTCGTGCACATCTCCTAGCCGTGAACACATGTGCACATAAGCATAAACAACAGCTCATGTAATGGGGGGGGTGCATGCATAGATGTTTTTACTTACACATACACTGACGCACTTGCAGTGATAGAGAGACAGTCATGCACAAAGACAAGCAGCCGAGCATCATGCACACATACGCAAACAGTGAGACGGACAGCTAGCCGAGCAGGCATGCAGGTAGGCCGACCGCTGGACAGGGATGGACAGGAGGGCAGATAGAAGAAGAAAAGACAAGTTAAGATTGAAAAGGTCAATTCAAAAAGTGAGACACGAGGAAGCAACGCAAGGCAAGGTAGGGCAAGGCAAGGAAAGGAAATCAAGGGAAAGGAAAGGTCATGTAAAGGGAAGGCTTGTTTCTGGGCTTGGACCCTCTGGGCTTTGGACAGGACTGCCGAAGTGCAGTGCTGCAGGGCCAGATGCGCGGCGGCTTAGGTTATGTGTGTATATATATATATACATGTATATTTATATGTAAATACATATATATATACATAAACAAATGAATATATACATATATATATAGGTGATATTAGATATCAGACTATATATGTTGTGTATTTTGCGGGTGTATATTAATCCAAGAAATATATTGTGCCTTATGTATATACATGCTACAAATCATCAGTTTTTGTTGTTGATTTTTGTGTGATATGTTCTATGCTAGTGATAAGCTAAAGGTTATATAGAGCTGTTGTCTTCAAGCTGTACAACACTGAGGTCCAGTAGGAACCTTGCTGCTACGGCAAGTACGACTCGCACTAATTGTAGCACCAATACTACAGTACTCAAAGCGCGCCCTCTATTCCCACTCCTCCTCCTGCGTCCTCTTCCAAAAGCACGGCTAGAAGGAACACAGCTACAGAAAACGATCAGTGCTTCGTCCTTTTCCTATTCCCTCTCAATACCTCTGTTAGGTATTGATGCAGGGTGACGATTAGTCTTGCGTCTGTAGCAATACGAATTCTCACAATTCCTATTGCTTCCAAATTCGACGGGTCATCATCGGCACCGGTAGCTCTGTCTCCCCAGAGCGAGGAGGAGGTTGAGACGTCTACTGTAGAACACCAAACCCCAAACTGTATGCCCCAAAAATCCCGTACGAAGCGCGCAGAGAGCAGGCTTGAATCCTTCAAAAAGGCTCCAGAGTCTGTAAGGAGTCCTGAAGCAAACACTACCACGACCTATAAGCCCTGAGCCCTAAGACTAAGCCCCTAGGGCCTAGACAACCCATTATACTAGACTTATAATAAGGAACCCGCAAAATAGTATAGGCGATCATGAAGGCCCCCCTGTATTACAAACAAAGCCGACGTGCATCTGGATCCCCCATTCGGGACGCCGTCCGTCCTAAACCCGAGCACTGCCGAAGGGCAGCTTGAAAAGGAGCCAAGTTTAGGGTTTAGGGGTTTCGGGGTTTTTGGTTTCGGGTTTAGGATTTTGCTTGAAAAGGAGCCAGACCGCGTCTTTTGTCGGGTTTGGGGTCCATGTGGGTGGTGAGGTCTCCGGTTGCGGGAGGGTTTAGGTATACAGGGTGTAGCGCTCGTTGCCTGCCAGTTCCGGTGTGCCTTTGTCGCGTCTGTTCCTGAATTTTCATGGGTCTTGTTTTTATTTATGTGGGTAGTTCTGTTTACAAAGAACTATAACTTCTCGGGGCTCTCTCCCAAATCCTTTTCGCGGTTTCTCAAGGAGTTGCGACTGTGACGCATGTGTCTGCGCACGATGCAGTGCCAGCTTCTGTTATCTGCCCGAGAATCCAAGAGGCCAGGACTAATGTAGGAGCCCTAATAAAGGCCCAAGGTTTCTTGATCAGGTTCCTACATTAGCTGCCAGAACGGCACTTCTGGCAGCGGTTCAGGGATTCGCAGCCCCTTCAGTTCACTAAAGCATGAGCAAATGGTGAAGTATGACAAATTTGAGTATGTGCACAAACGAGGATCGGAAAGTGCATCGCTGTTTCGACAGCTTCGCCACTTCGCGGTCTGATTTTCTGCTGTCTTGATGCTGATTTCACTCATCACGTGGCATTGGTGCCACGCTGCAACAGAACGTCATGACCATCCCTGCATGCATCGCCAGGGATGTTTTCCAGCGGGGACATGCCTTGCATAGTAGATTTTGCCATTTGTGTGTACTTCACATGTTCCTTGATCCTAGAGCCAGGGCATTGATACAAGATTCGAACATCCGACTCAGTCCAGTCCTGCCATGAAGTTGGTAAGGACAGTGCCAGAGGTCCTACAAACCTCGGGTTCGATGTGGGCACATCTCGCTGGCGTTTCGGATTTTCTCCTTTTTTGTCCTGAGATGACAGAGCTAAAGGCAGATGCAGCGGTAGAGTTGTGTAGCATTAGACTGTGCCAGCTGATCCGCACACATACACATGGAAGCTCATTGCATTGCCAGCAGGGCCATGTGGGAAGGCCGGGAAAGCTTTCGGGTTTAGGGTTTAGAGGGGTTTAGGCCCTGCCGCGCATCCGAAGCCATGGACATGCCTCCGGCAACCGATTCGAGTGACCCTGCCAACGAGGGTCAGGACTGGAATTACTTACTGTACCTTTGGTTAGTAGGGAAGGGAGGAGTGGGGTACAATTATATCTAAATTACAATTACTACCATTCTTCCATTCCCTACTAACCAAAGGTAAGATTCTTAGGGTCCCAAAAACATAATTGGGTTTAGAGTTTAGGGGTTCAGGGTCTAGCCAGGAGGGTCCACATATACGGGGTCACGGCATCAACTTGGTGCAGGATGCATTGTTTCATGCCTCAGACCTTCCAAAATCCCTTCATTAAGGAATATACCATAAATCATACAATGGATCCCACTATAATTTCAAGGTATCTTCCTTCATTAGAAGGATTTTGGAATTAGGGAGGGGTTCCTTTAAAGGGATCTATATGGGTTACGGCCATTACTTAAAGGATCATGGGACTTAGTAACTGGAGTTATAAGTAAGGTAACTATACTTATAACCCCAATTAAGGTACTTATAACCTTACTGACTAAGTCCCATACATCCCTTATAGATCCCTTTAAGGAAACCGTTAAGGATTCCTTTAAGGAACCCTTTAAAGGACCTCACTTACTAAGTCCGATGATCCTCTAAGTAAGGGAATTCGGAAAGTTGGAATATGGTTTCAGGCTAGGATACCTTATAATTTGCCATAAAGGGTTTAGGATCTATAATCATGTTCCAACTTTCTGGCTTTTACTTTAAGGGATTTCGGAAGGTCTGGGGCTGAAGAGCCGAAGGAGTCGAAGCCGTCAAAGCCCGGCAAGCAGAAGGCGGGCCCGAAGTCCAAGGCTGGTGCGAAGACACCGGGCTCTGAATTTAAATTAAGCTACCAGAAAATGGTGCTCTATTAAGCTCCTGAATTTAAATTAAGCTACCATATATTGGGGATCTATTATGAAGGTTCTTTATAAGGGTTCCTTTGAGGGTTCAGGGTTCGAGGTCTAAGTTACGATAATCGGGATCTATAGTAAATAGTATGGTTTCCTTTTTTTGGTATCTTATAAGTTAAAGCCTTTAGCGAGAATCCAGGAAAGCCAGCAAGAAGCCATAAATGGGGATCTATAGTAAGTAATACGGTTTCCTCATTATTATGGTATCTAAAATCAAATCTCTCAACAAGAACCCAGGAAAGTCAGCAAGAAGCCGGCGGCTGATGGTGAGATCGCGACTGAGACCGAGATCCGTGTTGGTGAAGGGCCCGAGGCTGCTTGGAGGATCATGGGACTTAGTGAGGGAGGGAGGTTCTTTAAAGGGATCCTTTAAAGGGATCCTTAAAGGGATCCTTAAAGGGATTCTTAAAGGGATCCTTAAAGGGATCTATAAGGGATGTACGGGACGTAGCAAGTGAGGTCATAAGTGCCTTCATTGGGGTTATCACAAATTTTAAGTATAGTTACCCTACTTATAACCCTAGTTACCAAGTCCCATGATCCTCCAAAAATCCCCCAAGACCCATGTACAACCCTTAATTGTGACCCTTACAGATCCCTTAAGGAACGCTGTAAAGGAACCCTCGTAACTAAGTCCCATGATTCGGCCCATGATCCTCTCAATACCCGCCAGACCCATATAGAACCCCAATAACAACCCTTACAGATCCCTTAAAGGAACCCTTCAAAGGAACCCTAGTTACTAAGTCCCATGATCCTCTAAACACCCCCCCAGACCAACCCTAAACCCTAAACCCTTGGTAGTACCCATTATCTTTAAGGGTACCCTTTTCAAGGACCCCTAGACCCATATAGAACCCATAGTAGTATCCCTTACTCTTAAGGGAGCCCTTTAAAGGACCCCTAGTTACTAAGTCCCGTGGATCCTCCAGGCTGAGGATGACGATGTGGAGGCTGAGCCTCCAGTGGCTGAGAAGCCCACAGTCATGGGGAAGCCCGCAGCCGCAGCAGGACTCAAGCAGTAAACTACGGTTGATGATATAAATCCTGCATGACCCATAATAAGGAATAGACCATAATTCCCATAGTTTAGGGCCCTTAAGGTAATGCAGGATTTATATCATCCACCGTAGTAGCAGTAAATTAAAGTCGCGGTTTGGGGTTTAGGGTTTTGGGTTTGTGGTTTATATAGGGTTTAGGGTTTGGGGCTTAGGGTTTAGGGTATAAGGTTGAGGGGTCTGGGTCTATGCTGGCGTGAGTGTGTATCGCCTTTGCCTGCAGGGTCGGAGGAACGGGAGAAGCTGATCCAAGAGGAAGTGATTCCAGTCGAGCGTGAAACGACTGCGGCACGACTGCACGCAAAGGAAGTGAGCACCAAACTCCACAAACTTCGGCGCTGATTTAGGGTGTTATTGCTGACATGGAACTTCAAAGTCTGTTTTCTGGATTTCCCCCTGCAAAGTGTGGGGGCAATATGCTGGCGTGTCGATTCAGGGACCTGACTTGTTCAGACTTTCGACATCATCTCTTGCCGGACCGTCTTAGGCATGATGATGCCCATCAATGCATCTGGGCACGTGGCCCTCGAGCTTTACTCTGATACATACCACACAGCTCACAGAAATTCAATCGGCTCATGTACACGTCCTGAACACAATCCTGCCATGCCAAACCGATATATCTCGATTAAACACCTCACCCTGAGCCCAAACCAAGTTGCCGCACTATGCAGATTGAAAAGGAGCCCTCAAAACAAGTTTCCGCAAAGAGTTCCATCCCCTCCACCGACAAAGCAAACCGAAGACTCCTAAGGCGGAGTTGAAGCTCCAGCTGATGAAAAAGATGCTGGGCTCTCGTTAAGGAGTTTAAAGCTTAAATTGAGTTACCATAATCGGGATCCATAAAGGTTCCTTTTGGGGGATCTGTACGGGTTCCTGTAAGGGTTTAGGGTTTGAGGTCCAAGTTACCATATTAATTAGGGATCTATAGTAAATCAGATGGTTTCCTTGTGATGGTAACTTAAACACCTAAATCCCTAAACCCTTAAAGGAACCCTTAGAGTAACCCCTATAGGTCCTTGAAGGAACCCTAAATAAACCCCGTAACAAGAACCCAGGATGGCCGACGAGGACGATGCAGGCAACTGGGCCTTGCAAACCGACCCAGACCCCCTTTAAAGGATCCAAAAAGTAGATCCCTTAATGGGGGTTCCTCTAGGGTTTCCTTTAAGGGCCCCTTTAAGTGATCTATAGGGTTTTAGGGTTTTAGGGTAGATCCCTTAACAGGGGTTCCTATAAAGTACCCTTAGTAGTATAGATCCCCTAATGGGGGTTCCTATAAAGTACCCTTAGTAGTAGTATAGGGCCCTAAATTAGGGGATCTACTTTCTGGATCCTAAACTCTAAACCCCTAAACCCTAAACCCTATAGATCCCCTTAAAGGAACCCTATAGATCCCCCCCCCAAATTAGGGGATCTACTTTCTGGATCCTCCCGGCGGTCTGGGCCCAGAGGAGCAGACGGAAGGTTACAGTAGAAGCCAGAAAGTTGGAACATCATTAGCCTCATGCCCTTAAAGCAAAGTATAGGGAATCCTAGCACAGATCCTCCTAAATCCATGTTCCAACTTTCTGGGGTTCACTATAATCAATTCCGCTATCTTTGCCATGACGGATTCCGAGATCTCTACAAAGCACGCCTTAACCCCTAAGCCGTAAACCCATTGCGCTAAAAACCGTAAATCCTAAATTCCTAAACCCTACAACCCTAAACATTAAATTCCTAAAGCTCAGGAGCAACTAAGAAGTACGAGATTTCTAGAGACTTTCACCTCTCCTCGGCCTTGCAGATTCCAGACTAGAGACTCCAGAAGATCGTTACCCTTGGGGATGTCTTCCAAGACTATGCGCCACTATCATTCCGGGGTCTTCTTCTGGTGCCTAAAAATCAGAGACCCCCACATGGACAGCAACTTCTGGCCCCAGACATCGTGGTATCACCCTCTGGAATGATGCAGCGCTGGTCAGAGGCAGGAAAAGCCAACTAGCTTTGGTGGGCAGGGTTCCAAAAGCGTCCCAGGGTCTTGGGTTGGTTGCAAGGTTGCAGGCTTTGGGGTTTGAGGACTTAGGGTTTTAGTTTTGGTGGTTTTGGTGATTGGGGGGAATTTGGTTTCACGGAGAATCCGCATCAAGAAGCCCCACACATCACACAGGATTCTACTAGGGGCTCCTATGGTGAATGCTCTTCAACAAAGGGTAACTTTCCCACAGTAGAGTATGATCTTGCAGGAAGCAGTATTGTGCTCTCTGGGCGGAGGTTTGGAGAATGGTTAAGGCTTCAATATAGGGCCTTAATACTTACCTATACTATTTTGTGGGTTCCTTATTGTAATTATCGTACAGCGGGCCCCAAAAACCTATTCTAATTATTAATTACGGCCCCTTTATCATAGTACCCTTGTACGAACCCTTATAGTAGCCCTTGTAGAACCCTTTAAAGGAACCCTGTTCGAAGTCTTAGGCTTTAGGGTGCTAGGGATTGGGTTTCGATCGTGGGCTTTGGGTTTAGGGTCTCGAAGTTCGGTCTTGGAGTTTGGGATTTATCCCGCAACCATCCTAAACCCCTAAACCCTGAATCTCCCTAAACCCCTAAACCCCTAAACCCCTAACCCTGAACCTCGGAACCCCGAACCCCGAACCCTGAACCCCGAACCCTGAACCCCGGAACCCCTAAACCCCTAAACCCTCAACCCCTCCACCCCAAGCCTATAGGTTCCGTTGTTTTTTGGTTGCAGCTTTTCAGCTTTAAGGTTCAGGGCATGCGTCTCGTCTCGGGGTTTGCTTTCTGATGATCAGGTCCGACACAGCAGCATTCTAATATACGAGCCGAAACATCTAGTAATGGTAATGTATCTTTTTGTCCGCCACCAGCATATTCTAACCGCAAAACTCCATTCAAACTAGCGAGGGCCCTTTATGGCCCACAACCGTGCTGTCAGGTTCAGGGGGGTGTAGGTAAGCCTTAAAAGGAATCTCGCAGTCTAATTGTTGAGGCCCCTATACTTCGCCCTCATGCATGCCTCATGGTAACCCCTCAGAGGAGCCCTTGAAGCCTTGAACCGCGTCCCAATCGAATCCTGAAGGCGGTGCTATAGGGTCCTTTATGATCAGAATAGGGTTTGGGGGTATATTGTGCTATATAATACTTATAATAAGGAACCCCCAAAACCCTACTCCAGTTATGAAGGCCCTTACATTTTCGTACCCTTCTGGTAACCCTGAAAGGACCCCTTTGAAGGAACCCTACTCTAATTGTTAAGACCTCTATAGTACTTTCTCAGCCTCGCAAGGCGCAGGTCCGGCTCCGGACGAGCAAGCGCTTTCAGCATGCTGCTGGACGGGGCTCAGCTTTAGGCTTTATGCTTTTGGGGCTCAAAGTTTGGGTTTAGGCTTTTGGGGTTCGAAGTTTGGGGTTTAGGGCTTGAGGTTTAGAGTTTAGGGTTTAGGGTTTGGGGTTTAGAGTTTAGGGCTCAGGGTTTGGGGTTTAAAGTTTAGGGTTTGGGGTTTGGGGTTTAAGCATGCTGCTGGGCTGGGAGTGGGTTAATGCCTGGGGGTCGACGGTTTAGGGTTTTTCTGTGTGGCTTTGGGGGTTTGATTAGGGTTTGCTCGGATTGAGGTGCTGTTAAGGAACTCGGTTTCAAGTTTGACTACATGGGGTTCATGGGATTTGATAACGGGTTGTGGTACTTTAAACTAGCTCCTGAACAAGACCCAGGTTGTCGCCGGTGTCACGATTTTCGCAGTCTTTGCGGACATTCTCGGCATCTTGGAATTCATGGGTGGTTGCTTGGGCGTGAAGATTCAGGGATACCAGAGCTTCCCCATCTTCTCACCTGACACCCGTTCTTGATATCCAAGCTGAACCACTAAACTCAGACTCAAAAAAAGGTAACGCTAGAGGTTTGGTCTTGTGGCTTTGGGTCCCTAAACGCTAAAGTCCCTGCACCCGAAGCCAAGAGCTACAAAGCCGGAACCCTGGACTCTACACCTTATCATCCCTATCTTAACCTTTCGCCCTGTGCGCCTGGCCTTGCAGCGAAGATGAAAATAAAGAGCTAGACGCCAAACCGTGCGAATGCACAGCGCACTTTGGGGTGAGCACCATTCGCACCCTGCGAGCATGCCTTCGCGAGAGCCGGAGCTGCACATGACTGTGGCGGGAATGAGACACTACTATTTGCTTAAGAAACCCCCAAAAAATAAGAATAATAATCCCTATATTACCCCCATAAGGAATAGGGGTTCTTAAGCAAATAGTAGGACATAACCAAGAATTGCACCCAAAATATGCACGGCACTGTGGAGCACGACATTCTCAGGCCTAGACACATGGGACTGTGGCGAAGACAGTGTGATGCCATAGTGTTTCCACGCTGTATGGGGAATACAGGCTCAATGAAACCCCGTAACGCGCCATCAAACCTTGTAAAGCGCCAGCGAGCCCACACAAATTACCCCTGAAATTTAAGCGCTACGTCCCAGACCGGAAACCCTAATAAACCCTAACAAACCCTAATAAACCAATGCACCCCTAATAAACCCCTAAACCCATCCATGCTCGGTCCTGAACCCTAGAGCCCCCAACTCCCTAGCTAACCCTCACCCCCTAAGCCCTTGGGCATCAAAATTTCCCAAAAGCCTTATACAGTATGGTCTTTGGGCCCAGAAGCCTTAATATATGAGCCCTTAGATGCCTAGGGTAAGCCCCTAAACTCCTAAACCTCTTGCCTCCTAGGCACCTAAACCTCCTTAAGCCCCTAAACCCCTTCCTCACGAAGCCCCAGCACCTTACTCTTACCCCGTAAGCTCGAGTCGACAAGGTACTGCCATCATCACCCGAAGCCTGAAACCCTATAACCCTATAACCCTATAACCCTATAACCCTATAACCCTAATCCATATACCGTATAACATCCTACAGCCCTATAACATCCTATAACCCTATAACCCTGAGCCCTATAACATCCTAAAGCCTACCAAAGGTACCGCCATCATCACCCTAAACCCTAAGCAACCCCAAACCCTAAACCCTAAACCCTAAATCCAAAACCCTAAACCCTCCTGAAGGTACCGCCATCATCATGCCCGGCTTGGCCTCCGTGTGTACTTTCGCCTCGGGCGGCCCGGGGGACTTCTTGGAGCCCCTCGCCGGGAGGGGGGGCGTTTTTTGGGGGGCCGAGGTTTAGGGGTTTAGGGGTTTGGGGGTTTAGGGTTGAGCGTTTTGCTTCCGTTTCAGGGCTCTGTTTAAAATTTAGGGGGTACCATTATCGGGTCCCTTAAATTAAGCCCTACACCTTAAACCCCTCAAACCTAAACCTAAACCCTAAACCCTTATCTAAAGTCCCTTAAGGCTCCTTTAGGGGGTAGTTACTATAATCGGGTTCCTCCGAGTCCCTTAAGGGGGTTGGGCCCAGAAACACCCAAAACTCCCCCAGAACCCTCTAGAATGCCATATACCATGGGATCCTTAATAACTACCTATGAACCCCCAAAAAACCCAACCCCAACCCCCACCACCACCCCCCACCCCCCATCCCCCACCCCCCACCCCCCACCCCGTGCTTAAGGCCATTCTGTTAGAGCTCTAGAACCCAAAGCTGCAACCCCAGAACCCTGCAGCCCTCAGCCCGAACCCTCCGTAGAACCCCTACGCCTGTTTCGGGGGTTTAGGTTTTAGGGTTTTAGGGTTTAGGGTTTAGGGTTTAGGGTTTAGGGGGTAGAACGGTTGATGATATAGATCCTGCATGACCCAAACTAAAGAATATCCCATAATTCCCATGGTTTAGGCTCATGAAGGTAATGCAGGATTTATATCATCAACCGAAGGGAGGTTTTAAGGCCCCTACATCTTCGACCATTCGAGTAACCCTTGTAGGACCCCTGGAAAGGAACCCCATTCTAATTAGTAAGGCCCCTACATTAAAAGGGGCCGAGCCAGGCAGCAGCGAGCTGCAGGGCTGCTGACGGAAGAGGCCTTCCAGGCTCACGGGTCAGCTGCAGAAAGTAAGCTTTCTCTTTTGGGGTTTTGAGGGTAGGGGTTTGAGGGTCTACTGTAGAGATCTCGCGGCCTAGGGATTTTAGGGGTTGGGGCTCGGGGTTTTAGGGGTTTAGGGTGGGTTTGGGGCTGGAGTGCCGTGGTTCAGGGTTTTGCACCAAAAGCCACAAGCCCAGCGTCACCACGGGGCATCGTGAAGTCGCAGACCCAGAGAGCCCAATACCCCTTAATTACGATAATTAAGGAATATAGCCATAAATCAGAACCTGAGCCCCCTTATAGTTTATAAGGTAGATTCCCGAATTGAGGGCTATTGGGGTTTCTGGGGACCCCAAAGCTCTACAGAAAGCCCGAGCCGCAAGGTCCTGGAGGACCAAACCCTGAGCACTAAGCCGCAAGAGCCACCGCAGGAGCAGACGCAGCTGTACATCTCCCCGCACGCTTTCAAGGGCGAACGAGGAGTGCCGGGTACATCAACACCCAGCAACCCCCCCAGCGTTCAGCTTAGAGCCCTAACCCGAGACCCCTAGCGCTTAGCAGTCTTTAGATAGTCCCTAAACGCCCGCTTTTCATACTGTTGTCAGTGGGCTTTCTGGGTAGAGTTGATGATTCATGCTCCAGTGTTCTCAGAGAACCCAATACCCCCTTAATTCAGGAACATAGCCTGAAACTATAAGGGGGTTCATATTATGATTTAAGGCCTATATTCCTTAATTAAGGGGTATTAGAATCCCCTAAACCCTAAACCCTATAGATCCCTTAAAGGAGCCCCAGGTATATTCCTTAATTAAGGGGTTTAGGGGCTCTCTGGGTTCCGAAGGACTCCCCCGACCCTAAAGGAGTGCATGCAGAGCCCCGAAGGGAGTTCTTGAGTCTGCAGAAATAGTAGTAGAGTAGCTAACCTTTAACCGTTTTGAGGTGCTATAAACCCAATATACTCCCACAGGTTAACCTCTAGTTCCTCAGGAAACTGGACAAGTAGGATGACCACTAGGAACCATAGCTGGCGTATTACCCAGGTTCCCCTTATGTTCCCATAATGCAGCCCCATCCAAGCCCTTAAACCTGGCCTTAGGGTTCGGGGTTTCAAGTTTCGGGGTCTGTATAGTTAGAAATGCTATCCCCTTGTATACCCGTGAACCCTAAACTCTTAAACCCCAAACCTGAACCCCTCAAGATCTAACCTAGCTTGAAGAGTTCTTCAGCCGTCACACCTCATAAGCAAATCATGAAGTCACACATTCCAGGCTTTTTCCAATCTTTAAAGACCGCAAAACCGCAAAGGCAGATGGGATGAAGCACGCCTTCTGTCTTGACTCTTATGGCTTTAGGGTTCGGGGTTTCAAGTGTCGGGGTTTGTATAGTTTTAAAGGCTATCCCCTAATATGCCGGTGAACCCAAAACCCTTAAACCCCAAGCCTAACACCGAAACCCTTTTATTGCGGGTTGCTACCTTTAGCCTTTACATACCCTAAACCCTGAGCCCTTTAACCCCAAGCCTAAACCCGAAGCCAAAAAGCCTAAACCCTTGTATTGCCGGTTGCCACTTAGCTACCCCCACTTTCCCTAGGCATCTAAGGACTCATATATCAAGGCTCTTGGGCCCAGAGACCATACTATATAAGGCTTTTGGGCTATTTTGAGGCCCAGGGTTTTGTGAGCCCATAATGGGGATCCTACTATTTCGGGTACTATATTATTACTCAGTTCTCCAATATCAAACCTTTAAACTTTTTTGGATTATTTATTTCAGTATTAATCTGAAAGTTTAACCTTTCATTTCCCTGGCTTATTGGGGAAGTAAGATTAGGGCCCCTGATTTTCCCACTTTTGTGAGCCCGGGGAGGAGCTTGGTCGGGAGCGCCGCCGGTCCCCTTCTCGCTGTCCATGAGCCTGGGCATGTTACTTACATGGGTGGTTGTCAGCATTAAGAGTCCCTTTTTGGGTATCCTATATATTGGGTGCCGCATTGACCCAAAAAGGTACCATAATTTTGACAACCATTCACATACATACAGCATGGATGTTTGTATGCATGCATGTGGGTAGGTAGGTGGGGATGGCTGCATTCTGTACGTAAGTGTGTAGGTATGTATGGGTAGTTGTCAAAATTAGGGTCCCTTTTTGCGCCCCCAATATGGTACGGCACCTACTATTTAGGGTACGCAAAAAGGGGCCAGTATGTATAAATGCCCCAACATCCCAGGAATCTGGTCATGTCCCTGGGATTTCTGGGCTCTGCCGCCGGGTCCATGTTCTTCGGATGGCTCTGCGACAGGATCGGCTGCATCTTGACCGGTATGCCTGGGAGTTTCCGAAAATAGGGGTACCTTATTTGGGGGTCCTCATAAATTTAGGGTACTATATTAGGGTCCCCTATTTTCGGAAGCCCCCATATCTTGGGTGCAAAGTGGAGTCCTAGGATAGAGCTCTTATGGGGTTGTTGTCAGGGTTATGAGGAGTTTACAGTATGGATTCCCAGGAAAGGGCCCTTTTGGGGTTGCCGGGGTTGTCAGAGGGTTTACATTATAGGTTTGAAGGGTTTTGCAAGGGTCTTGCAGAGGTCAGAAGGATTGGTCAGACTATTCCGTCAGACGCCCTGTTGTAGCTGTAGAGAGATATGCTGCGAAACCCCGTGAGCCCCGAAAGCGAAGCCTTTCAACCCTAAACCATCTAAACCCTTTAACAAGTTAGAGTATAGAGCTTTGATGGAAGCTTAAACCCTAAACCGTAAACCCTAAACCTTAACCCCTAAACCCACCGCCCATCGTTGAACCTTTCTGGAATGTCTATATAGACTTTCGCCTAGGCAAGATCCCGATGCAGATCTGCCTTGGCATGGGTATTCTGGGATACCTCATCATCTACGCCTCGGCCACCTGGGCGAAGTAGCAGTACCCACTTTTGTTTAGGGGACTGTTTTATATAGAATATATCCCCCAAAACCCGAAACTGCAGGCCATTTGGGTGAAGTCCTACTACCTCTTCATGCTCGGGAATGTCTGGAACAACTTCTTCGGGAACTGCATGCAGATCGCCTCGACCTACTTCGGGCAGCTCTTCGATGGCGCAGAGCGGGACCCGCAGCTCAGGGTCTAGGGCTTCGGGTACGCCGTACAGCGCAGCCACCCCAAAAACGAAGCAAAGCCCAAACCCTGATTGTTTTTGCCCCCTCTCCAACGAAACAATGCAAAAATGGGGCAGGTAGCTGAAACCATCGACCCCTATACAGGTCAATGCGGACAACGAGCTGCCAGCAGCCTTACTCCCAGTATCGAGAGATGCGCCTGAAGTCCTCAACATACGGTTGATGATATAAATCCTGCATTACCCACTAATTACAAGGAATATAGCATAGTTCCCATAGTTTAGGCTCGTTAGGGTAATGGAGGATTCATAGCATCAATCGGTACTACCTGAATCTCCCACAAGAAGCTTTGTTACGATAGGCATCTTGCGTTTTCGTGGTCTACTGGAAACTCCGAAACCCGGATAGTATGAAGCCTTGCAAGGGGTCCTGAACGGCCAGGAATAGTGGTATTCTTTACCTTAAGCCGGAATAACCCACTTTCTTAGGGTTCCGTATTATGATTTCCTTATAGAAGTCCTAAAAAAAGGTAGGTTATTCCGGCTTAAGGTAGGGCTCATAATGCAAATATATTTCAAAAGCCTTGAAAGCCTGCCCAATCACTCAGGCCCTTACGCCCGCAACCCCACGAATCCTGAAGCCTAAGCCCCGGACCCCCCAAAATCCCTAAAGCCTATACAAACCTCTAGACTCTAACCCCTAAACCCGGTACAGGACAACTACGAAACCCCAAACCCTCAACCCTTATGAACCCTCAACCCAAAGCCCTAACCCCCAAAAAGGACAACTACAACTCCATGGTATTGGGCATGGGCCTGATCGGAGGGACAGTTGGTGCTTTCATCGTGATGCCGCTTGGCGTGGAGAGCTACTCATGTCATGTTTAGAGTGTAGAAAGTTTGGTATATATGGCTAACCATTGGTATTATGGGAGCTAAAGAGGCAGGGATGATCATAATCCCTATTAAATAAGGAGCTAAAGAGCCAAGGGAACCCCAAAACCACGTGGTAGTATCCCAGAGAAGTCGAGTGTGTATTGCAAAACCCAATACCGCAGCCTCAGCCTGACCTCCCAAGCCCCCCAGCCCCCATCCCCCTCAATTTAGGAATATAGTTTAGCTCATAATACGAACCCTCCTATAGTTTAAGGTATATTCCCCTTAGTTAAGGATAATGAAGGGGTATTGGGCCCTCTGGGCACCCCCGAGGCCTTTCTCCAACAACCCCAGCAACGGCGCCAACTACTTCGAGTCCATCTGGTTGGCCGCCGGAATCACCGCAGTTGCCGTGCTGGCCGTGACTCTGGTGCTCGTCCCGCCGGACACGAATAGGACGGTTTAGGGTTTAGGGTTTAGGGTCTTTCGTGGAGAGATCATGGCGTCATAAGCACCGAACCACCCTCCCAGCCGGTCGTTCCCCAAAACGCACATGGCGCAATCAAAGCCCCCAAAGCCCCGAACGCAAACCGACCGATTTTTGGCGACTCCTTTGGGCTCTACCCATAGGCCCCATAGTAGTTAACTCCATTTTTCTGATTACCTTATAGGATTCTCTATGTGAACCCCCACAAGGAGCTACTTTGGAGCCTCTAGGTACAGTGGTGCGAAAGATGCCGGGGTTTTTGAGGGTCTTTGGCCGCCTAAACCCGAAGATTTGACCCGTGTGAAACTCAGCATGACGGATGACTTACTTTTTGTTAGTAGGGAATGGAAGAATGGTAGTAATAGTGGTTATAATTGTACCCCATTCCTCCATTCCCTACTAACCAAAGGTAAGATGATGAGCCGAACCTGCAAGGTCTCTTCTATGGTATGATGGGCCCCAAAACCCTATTCTAACGATTAAGGCCCCTATAGTAGTATTATTCAGGACGAATGATGAACCGAACCTGCAAGGTCTCTTCGTTTCTAGTTTGGTGACCGGGGCTGCTTAGAGGATCATGGGACTTAGTAAGTAGGGTTATAAGTAAGGAAACTATATTTATAACCACTTATAACCCCAATTGAGGTACTTATAACCTTACTTACTAAGTCCCATGATCCTTTAAGTAAGGAAACTATATTTATATCCACTTATAACCCCCAATTGAGGTACTTATAACCTTACTTACTAAGTCCCATGATCCTTTAAGTGAGGGGTTTTTAGCGGTCTAGGTTATCAGGGCTTCCCGAAACTTTCGTGGGCAAGGCTTGAAATTTCGTGAGCAATTCCCCCGCTCCGTTCCTGGATTCGGCCTTAAAGGGAACTCCAGAAAGTTGGAATATGGCTTCAGGGTAGGATCCTCTATAATTTACCTTAAAGGGGTTAGGATAATGATATTCCAACTTTCTGGCTTCTACTGTAAGGTTTCGGACTTAGGGTTTCAACCTTTTTTGGCCTTAGGGTTTCGGCCTGACGGTTTTCAAGGGAGAAGCCATGACACCCGCCGCCTAGAATTTCCTGGCTATGAAGCGAGTACGTCTCAGATCCTTCGACTGTTGTCTAAGAAAGCAAAAAGCATCCGTCTGGAGTGAAGGTGCAGAACCAAGCCGTACGTAGTAATAGAGTTTGTCATGTCTTAATGTTTTGGGATTCTCTCTGGGTGGGTGGGTATTTTTCGAAGTCGAACTGGCGAGCCCTGAACCTTAAACCCTGAACCCGTACCCCCCTAAGCCCTAAACCCTATAAACCCAAGACCGCGAAACCCTAAACCCCGAAACCCTAAACCCCGAAACCCCTAAACCCTAAACCCCTAAACCCTAAACCCCTAAACCCTAAATCCCTAAACCCCGAAACCCTGAACCCCGGAACCCTACGATCGAAGAAGCCCCTGGCAAGGAAGGACAAAGACGCGACGGAGGAGGAGCTCGATCCCGCCGTGAACGGCACACCGCCCATGGCGTCAAGGAGCAAACCCAGCCCCCGGCATTTAGGGTCTACTTAGGGTTTAGGGTTTAGGGTTTAGAGTCAAAGCCCAAAAAGTTTTGGACTTGGAAACCCAAAAGTTTCAATCCGATCCTTAAGACTACCGCGTTGTGAATCCCAGCACTAATGGTCCTCAATCCGGTTTCCAGCTTTTTTTGGAGTTTACTTTAGGAACCAGAATTCCATAGAAGCCGTAGCAAATATTCAGGGTATAAAATTCTACTTATATATTGAGGGCCCCTAAACCAAAGTACCTTTATAGTAATCCTTATAGTACCCTTTTAAAGGAGCCCTTTTAAGGAACCTTAAAACCCTATTCTAATCATTAAGACCCCTATATCATAGTACCTTTATAGTTCAATCCTTATAGTACCCTTTCAAAGGACCCCTTTTTTAGCGAACCCTATTCTAATCATTAAGGCCCCTGTATTACAGGATCCTCATCCTGGCGGTGGTGGCCTCGGCACTGGACTCGGCGGGTGACGAGGGCACCCGCATGGCGCGGGGGACGGTGCTGACCAGGCAGGGTTTCAATGTCTTGATACCCTGATCAAGATATGTAAGCAGGTCAAAGCGATAGATATATACATACATATATATATATACAGATAGATATGGTTCTGTTGCAGGAGGCGCGAATAATATGTATATGTATATGTATATATATATATGTAGACGTATGTACACGCACACACACACACATACATAGAGTTATAGGGTCTCCGATGGTTCTTTGGCGACTCTATAGTCAAGATTCAAGGATTCAAGGGTACAGGGCTGAAAATCGATTGTACAGGCATTTTCCGACCGACCACAAGCAGGATCGAACATGCAGCGAATCAGGACAGTTATCAGTTATCGGACAGACAAAATCCTTAGGACAGCTCATCTTTCCCGGCAGCACGATTGAACACGCTCCCGTTCCACAGGAAGTTTCTTTGCCATGTGACAAAGACAAACTTCCCGAAACAGTTTTTCACGGACGGACCATCATCGTTTTCTTCGTCGAGCTGCCAAGAGCATTCAATGTTCGTGAATGTTCTCTCCGACAGGGGCGCCTCATGCAACCAATAATCAATAATATAGGGGCTCGAATAATTACCAATACTATTTGGGGGTTCCTTCTTACAATTACAGTATCATGGGCCACAAAGCCCTATCCTAATTATTAACTACATTAATTCAAAAAGCTTAGGGTTTAGGGAAGTCCTGGACTGAGCTCCCCCAGTGCAGAGGCTTTTTCCAGACTGGCAGACGGCGGAGAGACAAAACTACCTGCTCATGGGATTGCTGCTGGGCTCTTCTTACCTGTGGTTAGTAGGGAATGGAGGAATGGGCTACAATTATTATAACTACTATTACTACCATTCTTCCATTCCCTACTAACCAAACGTAAGTCTTGTTAAGGAGTTTAAGTGACCATCATCGGGATCTGCATTGAATAGCAGGGTTTCCTTATTCTGGAAACTTAACGAACCCAGGCTGATTATGGTCATTCTCTCCTTGGTGCTCCTCCAGGCGGGTTGCTCGAAATTGCGCCTCAATGAGATTTCAACCATAAGCCTTACCCCCTAGACCCTAATCCCTCAACCCTAAACCCCTAAACCGCTAAACCCTAGGACCCAAACCCCTAAACTCCCTGAGCCGCAGTTGGGCTGCTTTTGCGTATGGTTTCGGGCGAAGCCTTTGGGTTTTGAGTGAAGGAGGGAGTTCCGGGCCTAGGGAACTTGGGATCTACTGTTGATGATATTCCCTACTAACCCAAGGTAAGTATTGGGATTCCTTGCGTGGCCCCCAACCTCAAATCCAACAACATACATCAGGATTCCTCTCCCCGATACCACTGCCAGCACTTCCATGATTTCCACTACGGTTGATGATATAAATCCGGCATTACCCTAATGGCCCTAAACTATGGGAACTATGGTAAATTCCTTATTATGAGTCATGCAGGATTTATGTCATCACCGCATCATGTAGTAATGTACGTTACTATGGGGGAGTATCTTGGGGGTTCCTTATTCTAATCTTGTATAATGGACCCCAAAACCCTATTCTAATTATCAAGGCCCCTGTATTAGCGGTTAGCATCTGATGCAACTACGAA